TATATATCTATCTATATATATATATATCTATCTATATATCTATATATCTATATATATATATATATATAGATATAGATATAGATATTTATATTTATTTTCTATTGGTATCCATGGAATGAGGTGAATCAACAGGCGACATTAGGTTTGGTGGGAGCCTGTGAGAAGCACGTGTTGACAGTATTACTGATGATAGTTTTGCAGTCATGGAATAGACTCAGTTATAAGGCAAACCTTGTTTTTTGGATGCCCCCCCTGAACAGCACCAAATCTTTGGCATGGAATCATGGAGACTGCTTTATGTCGACATGATAGCCTCATGCAGTGGCCTCAGATTAAATTAGCTGTACTCTCACCTAAACTGGATTTATTTTTTCTCTAGGCTGCAGGGTTTCAACCAGGCTGGTGATACAATAACTCAGCTGATCTGAGATCATGTATAGCTGTGTCAGGAGATGAGTAGCTTATACGGGTTTGTACACATTCATCCCATACCGCTTGTTTTTTTTGAACAACTTCCATTTTTGTTCATTAGTGTCGCAGTGTCAGCAGGCTTCAGAAATTAAACATTAAGTAATAAGTAGTAAGTTCTTGACATAGTTAGCCAAAAGTCTGCCATTAAGTGCCGTCAGGCCCCCCTATACTGTAGTTTGTGTGGTGTCGCCCTTTATCAACAGCTAACTGATCATGTATTATAAGAAGTTGATAATAAATCACTGATTTCACCCTTTAGTGCAGATTATCCATATATTTGCCTCTACCTGTCATTTTCTTGCAGAGGAAAAACACTGTGCCAACGCAAAGCAAAACTCAGTTCCAGTAGCAGTTTTTAAAAGTGTTTAATTGGATTAACGGTCAAAATGGTAAACTTGTTTTGATTTGTTCATCTTGTGATATTTAGGATCAGGAATACAGACCACTACTGCCGGGCTACCATGTTTCCATGCATCTTGGCCAAGTGGCTGTAGGCTGTTTCTGTGCTGTGTTCAAGTGCAACTTTAAACAAAAAACGTGAGTTGACGAACCTTATCACCCAACAGAACAATTATTGGACGATCCTGAATTTATGTTCAGCAACATCCTTCTAATTGTTGCTTTCTGCAATATCTGAGCACTAACTAGTATGTTGTGATTGGAGTGAGACTGTGGTTATCTTTAATAAATGAGCTAAAGTCAGTTGCAGGTCTGTTACGGGACGCCATTTCTAGCCTCCTGTATCAGAGTCAGACACATGCCCATCCATTATTCTTACCTCCATACACTTACTATTTGAGTACCTGCATAAAGGACACACTACTTTCTACATTGGCATTTGACTTAAATTGCAATGTGCATAATCCTCCAGTAGCTTTTTTTGCAGTCACATGAAATTCAGATGGAGGGCAGGAAGTGACAGCAGAATGGTTGAGATGGAGTTCGTGCTGTACTCGTTTAAATGATATTTTTGAGAAAGGTACCAACAGAATCACAACGTGTTTGAAGTGATTCAGGATTTTTCAACTGAATTTAAAGACTTGCCCTTTCTGTTGGGGAACTGAATTCATTATGTGGCTCTCTTCAAAGCCACCAGACTCCTTTAGAAAAATTAACTTTTGGAAGAACAACTTTTGGTACTTGATAAAAGCTCCTCGTCGCTTATGCCAGTGGTTCAACCTTTTTCCTTAAGGGACCCTTTTCTATCATAAACTGATAACCCCTCACTAAGTAACATATTTTATGGATATTTCATNNACAATGAACCCAAACAGTGAACTAAGTAACTGCAGGAAGTTTGTGGGTTTTTTTTATACAATTCTCTGTCTGTGTTCTGTATATTTTAATATAATTTTTAACAATTATACAGACTTAATAGGCTTCTCTTTTTTTGGACAAATTCTGTGTTTTCTTGTCCCTGATGCTTGGCCATTGTTCTGTGAGACAATTTACATTTACATTTCCTCACAGAAGTGAGCCTACTGTTTATACTTTTCTTCACTTCACTTCTTACACCCCTCAAAATCTAAAAGGCCTTACAACCCCCCATGAAGCTTTGGCGACCCCCACTGGGGGCCCAGACCCCGAACGGGGGAACCACTGGCTTACGCAAAAAAGACATTTTGAGAGCTTGCAATAGCTCTTCCAGTATTAAAAAATCACTTCTTGCCTTCCATCTGGAGTTTGTACCACAGAAAAGCAAAGAGCTGTATGGACACAGTTAGTAGGGATACTGGACTGGAGTCGACACCAATGCCAAGGGAGCGCTGTATTTATACATTTTACAATTCTGCAAATTGTGTGTTTTAAAAAGAGGAAAGAAGTTGACACCTTGAAATGTCATTATTGGTATAAGCTGACTGATTATGACTCAATGCAAACTAAAAGTACCTTTGTTTTGGTTTTGTGATAAGATTATTTTATAACAGGAGAAGATTACAGACTGAATGTCATTTTAGTAAGAATCGTCATTTGAAATGCCAGTCTGTAATGCACATGAACATTTGACATTTTTCCTTAATTCCTCTGTTACTCAGTGCATAGCCAAATGGTTGACATAAAAGAAATCTGTGTACCCTATTTAAAGTTCAGTGTATGTTTTTACCAAATATATTCTTCCCGCTAACGCCCTATCTTATCTCTGCTATCATACCATCCACGGGTGTATCAGAAAACGCAAGTCATGATGGACAGGCCACTATTACTGTGAATTATATAGAGCAGGCCTACATTTTATATTTTTACCCCCAGTGGAACTTTATGTAAAGGTTGCAAGTTAGTATCTATTATATAGGTTGGTGTATGTTCTGTTGATTGTATGTTCTGTTAGTTGTTAAATGCAGCTGTCTCACGAAATTTGCATGTAACCTGTTATGATCTCCAGAAATGTCCTAGAAACTCACAGTGCTAACATTTTGTAAATAACTTTATTGGATGTCAGGTTTTTCTTACTTCAATTTTGCATTTCTTTCAGAAAACAGACAAGTAGGACTGTTAATAAATGAAATGGATGGGTGTTGTTCAAGTCCCAGCCCTTATTATTTTTTTTTATGTCACATGGCACATATAAAAACAGATCTTTTGGTGTACAATGTCATGGGATGTGGCTTCCTGATAGATTATTCGGCGACACCGCTTAGACACACAAGCCCTGTGTATGATGCGTCTCAATACATGGTCAAAGTGTATATGATCATTTACATTAGCCTCGTCCTCATTCCCTTCACTCATCTCTTCTCCTCAGCTCCTCACACTAATGATTTGAGGGAGATATCCGGGCAACAAATTAGGCAGAGCAACTTTAATCAACCACGAATGTTGCTGCAGAGACTTGAATGTAATGTACGGTGTGTGAACCGTACTCTGCCATTATGACGGTATTTCTTTCAACACATACGATCAATGAAATTATATAATATTTGGTGGTTAGTCCTGTTGAACAATAAAAGTAAAATTTGCTGTGTTTCTATATGCCATGGGTCCTCTGCAGCCAGTTAATTTATTGATTGTCAGACTGAGCTTTGACTTACCACTTCTACAGCAGGTCCGCTGTCAGTCAGTATGATACAACTTTGCGCAAAAAATGGATTAAAAAACATTTCTGAAAATATGCTGGCTGGTCCTGTGTACTTGTTGATCCATCGGTCAGTTCATTTACTCATTAAAGTGAGCTCAGGCACTGCTGTAGCAGATGCACATGCAGGGCAGCCAGGATCCTTCAACAGTCCACTGAACAGCTTGCTCTGTTGACAGCAGGGTGCAAACTACAGGGGTGTCAGGGGGAGCTAGGCTCCTCTTAATAAGACTCGAGCTCAAAACAGCATTGGTGAAATTTTGGGGGGTCTCTAAAATACTGACAATGTGCTATTTTTGCCATGCATTTCTTTCTGTATCTTTATCATCAACAAACAAAATGTAAAACTGTTAACAGTGATACCATGGGGTTAGCTGATGTGCTTTTTGTAATCTGAGAAGTGGTTGAAACTTGTGTCTGTGGATCCAGGTACTTTTAGGTCCAAGTACCTAATAATTAAAGCTGCAGTAGGTTGTAATCTGAAGAAGGTAAACCTGTTCTGATCCAGTGTACTAGTTTAGTCCAAGTACCTAATAATTAAAGCTGCATGCATAGCGTTTTTAGTATACATACCAGTTATGTTAAGGGCGCGTCAGCGCCACCCCACAATACACCGAATACCAACGTATACCTATCAAAGTCATATTCGCTTAAGATATATTTGAATCACCATATACTTATAATTGATAGTTATGTGTATGGATTATATATAGGTACTGATACCAGTAAGGAATCAGCACACATCACATCATAGTAGCACATATACATTATATTATACGAGAGCGTAGTATACCTATCTAGTATATGTGTCATATATAGTAATTATATATACCGTACTGTGTATCATAAGTATCCTATACTATACTATTATATATCGTGCTAATATAAGTATCACACCTATACATATACACTATTGATAGTATAAACTGACATACC